GGAACAGCCTCAGGGTATTTATTACCACCCTATGTGGTATACAAAGCGGAAAACTTATATGATAGTTGGACAGAGGGTGGGCCTAAAGGAACTAGGTATAATCGTTCCAAGTCTGGATGGTTCGATGGTGTTTTAATATGTTTTATTTGATTTTATATTAACAAGTATGTTATTTTGGTTTTGTTATTGTATTAAAAGTTTTTTAATACATACACTTATTTAAGTCAACATTCACATTTTTTTTAAAAACAATTATTAAGTCCCAAGTTAAATAATATCAAAGTTAACTTGAATTTTACATAGAAATATATGGGTGTCCCAAGTTACCCAAAAATCAAGGTAACTTGGGACAAGCATATTTTTTTAAAAAAAAACGGGAAGGGGGGAGGAATCAAAAAAAAAAACATATGGGTCTCATAGTCTAAGTCAAGACCAGCATTTTTGTTCATTACAATTATTAATATATTTTGAAAACTTTTCGATCAGTATTCATCCGAAGTTCAAAAGTGTCCCAAGTAACCCGGTTTGACGGTACAATTTAAAGATATAATTTCTAACTTTTCTATTGAAAACGAATCATCATCTGTGCTTCACATTTTAATAAAGCTCTCATACAATCTCAGCTTTCTTCAACATTCCCAAATGTTGAAATAGCTCTAAGAATTTTTTTGCTCTCTTCCATACTCTAATGTCACTGGGGAACGTTCTTTCTCAGTTCTAAAGAGTGAAAAATTACCTTTTACTTTCCATATTGAGTATAGAGAATACAATATTAAAACAAATAGAATGGGAACAAAAAAATTCATAAATTCGCTTCGGGATAAGTTATCAGAAAAAAATTGATCTAAAACTGTTATATTCAAATAAAATATATTGTATTTTAAATACCTAGTTATTTTAATAATCAATTCCTCATAATAAAAATAACTATTTTTAGATTCTGAGCGGAGCAAGGAAGCTAGTGGTTTTACAATGGTGTTTATTTTTTTTTTTTATATCCTGTATACAAAATTTCTACCAGAAGGAGTGCTTTGATTTCAACATATAGTACCTTATCTTTTAGCAAATTGGACCAAGATGATACTTTAGAGAGGTCATTTTTCGATTTTCTCAATAGTTATTTAATGCCACGGGAAAAAGTACTGAAAAATTACGAAAAACCGCTTAAAATGGGATTTTAATTTCTAACAATTTGTTTATCACCGTAGTAGCAACGAATAAAAAAAATAATAATTAAATAAATAAAATAATTAATGACAATATAAAATATACAGACTGACAAACCGTCTCCGTTCAGAATCGTTTTTCTTATACAATGATATTCGGTATATCATTGAATTCAAGTTTAATACAATCCATTAAACAATGACCAACTTGTAACCTACTGTACAGCTGAGCGACATCCACTTACCTGCCTTTTTTTTTTTTTTTACTGCACTGTAAAATATTTAAATTTAAACTATAATTAAAACATAATTAATTATTTTTGAAATTGTGGCAAAGAGGCGTTACATTTATTTTGCCCCCGGCGTTTTTAACTCTTAATCCGTCGCTGATAATCGGCTCTATTAGCTGCACTCCTCTGCTTAAAGAGCTTAATGAATAAGCATTAAGACCACGTAGTGTGCTTTTATTGTGATTTGTGATGTAACTGCATCTAGTATCTAGGACCTAGGTATCAATAAAGTTAATGTTTAAGTGTACCTAAATGTGAATATCTAAATATTATGTTATTATTTATTTTAATGTATAGTGTATACCTACAATATTACATAGATACAGATCATAATGGTTGTATACTTGTATTGAGAGGTGCTTATTGCTTAAATGATTAAAAAAAAAAAAAAATGTTGAGTGGGGAAATGTACATACATTTCATCCCCCCCCCCCCACAACCATAAACCAAATTACGCCACTAATGCCATCCAAGTATTTAAAAAGTCATATCTGCGTTGAAGAAAAAGAAAATACCTATAAACAAAGTAAAACTTAAACAATATACAGCTGGCGAATGTCCCCTGCGAAAAAAAAATAGTTAGACAAAGTACAGCGTTTGTAAAATATTGGCTTTGATTATAAAAATAGAACAACCAATGAATATTTACAAGGAATAGTATTTAATTTCCAATATTGCAAATATAATATTTTACAATTAAAATTAATGTGATATCTAGAACAGCACGAGAAAAACAAATTGCGATAAAAAGTATTAATGTCCAAGGTTTTGACCGAAACAATTTTTGTGTTCAAGGTTTTGACGGTAACAATTTTTTTGTTCAAGATTTTGACGTTCAGAGCTTTGATGGAAACTACTTTTTTGTTCAAGATTTTGACGTTCAAAGGTTTGACGAAAACTATTTTTTTGTTCAAGATTTCGACGTTCAAGGTTTTGATGTTCAAGTTTTTGAATATTCAAGATGTTGACATAAATTTATGTTCAAGATTTTATTGTTCAATATTTTGACCTTCAAGATTTTGACGTTCAATTGTTTGACATTCAATGTTTTGAAGGCCTCCCCTTACATGTCATATAAAAATCACTAAAAATAAAAAAAAAATATGAACAAACTATTCATTCTTATACTTTATTTTATGTTTATGTCTGTGACCTGTGTTAATCTTTCGAGGCAGTAAAATCATGATAGCAAATTGGAGTTAGTTGGCACATTATGGGTTCAACAGTTAAAATTTCTTATTTTTCAAAATAACTGAGTAGAACAAAAAAATATTAAGGAAAAACAAATTTTTATGCAAAATTGAGGCATACTGGGCACTTGTCCAGGGACCCGCTTGGGCCCCTCCTTTAATATTAAAAGCGTTGAGACTACGAAACCTTCGTTTCCCTAGGGGTCCCAGAATACCTTCTAGCGTCACTGTAATTAAACAAATTAGAGCAACAATTTAACTAAGATCGTGCACAAGTGTGCTTTCAAATTTCTGTATTTACATATTTAAAAATAATTATTACCATTGATTATAAATACTAGTTCCTACTTATAATTAATGCTATTATACTATTTAAAAAGAATTTTATTTAGTCCCTCTCGATTAGCCATAATTTATTTGCAACAGTCGGCAACAGATGGAGAAATAATCAAAGTTCATGATTAAAATTTACCAGCAATCAAGTTGAACCAGATAAAGATACTGATTACTGATGAGCTTGCAGACCATTTTGGAACTGTACCTACCCCCTCAATATCCAATACTTATGCAGCATCAATGACTTGAAAAATGTTATTACCTAAAACCTATACAAAATATGAGAATACTGCAGAAGATGTAAGGTAAGAGTTATTTTTATTAGAAACTTCGATTATCACTAAATTATAAATATTCTACAAAGTAATGATTATTTAAAAAAAAATGAAATTCAAGTATATAAAAAAATTAAAAATATATCATTGAATTATGTTTTAAGTAATATACTAATATGTATCCATTAATGCAGTATTAAATCTTCAATTTTAATTAATAATAATAAATAATATATTTAAATACAGCGTTTTAATCTCGTTCATAAGTAAAATAAAATTGTCAGTATTTTTGTTTTATCCGCTTCTAGTCAGATACAACCAATGCTTGTTGTATTCGTATATAATATTATTTACTAAACGAGTTCAACGCGTTTCCTAACTTTTTCAGGCCATGTCCTGACTCCTGGGTATTGAACTACTTCAGTGGTCAGCATGATTATGTCAATATACTATCTGTGGTATACAGCCTTGTGTACCTATATAACAAATAATATGATATTGAGTAGGAACCTACATATACACATGCGCCAATAGAGGGGCTTTTAGGGAAAAGCCTCCTCCGTGAGGAGAAGTAATGCTAAAGCGATTCCTCCTCCGGTCCTCGATTCAAACAGAAAAAAAAAAGCGAAAAGCCTCCTCAAACTTTTTGTACATTTTACTTTACGTTTGAACAGCTAGTAGATATTCAATGTCATTAAAATTTTAACTTAAAGCTGATATATAATATCGATTTTATTTAATTAGTGTAGAAATAACTTAAGAAGAATGTTGTATTAAATTTTTAACTTTTCAACTTACAAACAAAAATGCTATAATACATACATTGAAAAACAATAGAACATTTTGATTCTACAGTAGGTTAATAGTTTTTGAATTACAACAAAAATATAAATATGATTTTTGTTCTCGATAAACTGGTTTTCCTATAATTGTTTCTGTTTGTTTACCTAAAGAAACTTACTATACAATTTGTTGTAATTGAAAAAAGTAGTCAATTGAGTGAAAAATTGATAAAGATTTTTTAACAACTTAGAATTAAAAGAGAAGAAAAATGAATGGTAAATGATTTCTACCTTTTTTATTATTAAAAACTGCTAAAGTTTAGATTAGATTAAAAAATATTTTATATTCTCTGAAAAAACTTTGTGTTTTTGATTTTAGGGGATGGTGAGAAATGGTTAAAAAAGAATATGTGCAGGGTGGCGTAGAACATATAATATTATATCATCTACAGTTAGAACTCACAATAATATAAAATGGAGGTTAACATTTTATTGGAAAAATAAAGTGCATATAAATAGTATAATATTCTAATTTAGAATTGATACGCTTTATTGATTATTATTTATTAACTATAAATTATAGCTTAAATAAATGTTATAAATTAATTTCTACGGATAGTCAATTTTATTTGTATACAATTATTATGACTTTTTGAGGAAAATTAAATCTAAGTTATTACATTTATGGAAAGTAGTAGTATAGCCATATATCTTGAATACTTGAATGAATAGCATAATAAATTTAATGAATACTTAAAAAAATTTAGTGGCACTCTGAGGTCTCAAGATCTAATTTAGCTTTGATTTTTTAACTATATTTTATAATAAATATGAAAATATCCAGCAAAAATAATCTACGTTTTTGTACAATAAAACAACCTAACCTTAAATTAAATATGTCAAGAAAAAATTAAATCCTTAAACATTAATAATAAATAATAAACACTGTATACATAATAATTTAGTTTTTTTTAAAACTTTTCAATATTGGATAAATATTATCGTAGGCATCATAAATTTCTTGACGTACTTTGGCACCTGAAATTGTAATATTATTAAGATTAAATAACACAAATAAAGTTAACAGATAATATTTAATACCATAATTTATGATTATAATTTATAAGTAATAACATTTTTTTAGTAACCAATTAAGATTTAGTTAAAGTTACGCACAATCCCAAAAAAATGTTTTCATCAATTTATTATTAAATAATAAATATTAAATTATTGTAGTTAGAACTATTAGAAAAAAATAGGTAAAAATGCAAAGTAAAAAATAAATAAATATCAATCAAGGAGATATTAAGGGTATTTAGAATAGCTGGGTGACGTCATTGGGCTGGGCTCGATATAACTGCTTATTTTATAGGTGTAGAAGTTGCTTACTCAACAGAATGATTTATCCATCTAACAATTTTTTTTATGATTGATTTCAGTATAAATATGTAACTGTTTGTACTTAAGATAGAAGTATTAGAAGTTAAATACAACCTTCAGTTTTTTAAAATATTAAAAATACTAAAAGAGTTATTGGCCAGTTGTGCTATGTAATTTTGCGATAAATGACTGCTGCAGCTATAGAGGCGTATGTAACAAAAATTGTTATAATAAGATTTTAAATATTTAAAAAGACTAAGCACTTTAGGTTTTTAGAGATATTCTGGTCCCAATAACATCTCTAGTGAATAAAAACATGTAAATTATCATGTGAAGCAAGGCACTATAGTATGTAAAGATAGTAGTTACGGCAAGCCCAGCCCAATGACATCAAGTGTATAAAGCGTATCACTCCCCATAAAGTCATAACTCATTGAATAATGTCAGTAAAAACGTTAAACATATACCATTTTTCATAGAATTGAACATTATTTTAAATTAAACAAACTTATTTTTTGTGTTATGTGGTCCTTTAACATCAATAACAATAACTAGTAAAAAGTACAAAAGTAGTTACAATAGTAAGTTACCTGTCAGTACAACTTTTCCAGAAACAAAAATCAGTAATACAATACGCGGTTTAACCATTCTGTAAATAAGCCCAGGAAACAGTTCCGGTTCATAACTAAAAAAATAAACATTTTATGAGTCCTAAATACAATATGTCCCAAAAATCCCGTATCACCCTTAGTATCTCCTTGGAAAATCAATATATTTAAATGCAGTTTTTTTGCAGTATTAAGTATGAAAACTCTGAAGTAAAATTTTTCTAGTAGTTTTGAAACGCACTGCAAAAAACAAAAAAAAAATTAAGGAACAACGGGAATTTTTACACAAAATCTGTTTTCGAGAAAATCGACTTTGGCTTTTTGTGTAACTCTAAAACAAATGACCGTATATGAAATTTTTACTGACTGTTTATATAAGTATTTTCTACACACCATGCCTTTTTTAAAATATTTTGACTTGTTTTGAGCTGTTTAGGGACATTTTCAGTTTCCAATTTTTTTAGTTTTTTATTCTATAAATATCAATAAAATCTTATTTGTTGGTTAAAAAAGCTTGAAAATTTAAAGTAGGTATATAATATCACATATACCCAGACTGACATACCGTCTCCGCTCAGAATCGTTTTTCTTATACAATGATATTATATCATTGAATTCAAATTTAATACCATCCATTATACAGTGACCCACTTGTAACCTACTGTACAGCAGAGCACCTTTTTTTTTTGAACTGTTTTAAAAAATACCATCGACAAAACAGCTATCTTGGAAATTTAAAAAACTTATCTGCCTAAAAAATTTTTTTGGTAATTTTTGAATTTTTGAAAAAATGAATCAAATATTATTTTATTCAATCAGAATTTCCATCTTTATAACTGAAAAAAAACAGCATTTAAATATATTGATTTTCCTCGGAGATACGGGACTTTTGGGACATATTGTATAATACTAAAATTACAAAACTTAATATAGAATAAACTACCTGCTAAACTGGCCATGAGTGAGTACCAATCCCTCAAGACGTATAGGAAACTTTACATCACAACTGCCAACCATGTTTTGAATTTTAAAGTCTAAAAACTTGGCCTAATAATAGAAAATGGTTAAATACAAATATAAACAAACATAATAAGACTTACGGGAAAGCTGAGTTTTTGAATGATCCTAGCATATTTCCTTGCTGCTAGTCTGGAATCTTCTTCACTTTTTGCACCAGTACACACCATTTTCCCAGAACTAAAGATTAGTGCTGTAGTACGTGGTTCACGTATTCTCATTATGACAGCAGCAAATCGTTTTGGGTTAAATTCTGCATTACGTGCATGTAAAGCAATAGTTTTCAGGTCAAGCCGACATCCAAGATTTACCGTCGACACTATATTCCTTGAAATAAAAATGAGAACACAAAATTATGTAAATAATGCACTTAAATGAAAAAACAATGACTCACTGGAGTTGAGGTACAATTCCGGGATCTGCAGAAGCTGGTGTCATAGGTGTCATCGGGGCAGGCGTTGCTGGGTTTTGAATAGTTTGTAGCGCTGGGACAGTCGAAGAGGATGAGCTGATGGACGTTAAAGATGGCATACTTTGATGTACCTAAATAGGAATCCTGGGATTAATATCTAGTTAAAAAATAATACTATTGTTTAAATAAGTTGTTACAGGTGTTTGTGAATGCATCATGCTGTGTGGTGTGGCGTAACCCATGTTGTTTGTCTGATATATTTTATTCATCGACTGTTGTTGAGACGGCAGACTACTAGTACTCATGGCTAGACCTTGTGGTTGTAGCGGTGGCATTTGCATAATCTGCTGATCTTCTTCTGGTTGATGTACTGGGGTTCCAATACTGGGAATACTGAACCCCGGGCTCGGTAACATCTGATCCATTTTAGAAGTATGGCACCTTTTTTTTAACTATTAATATATTATTACATTATATTAGATAATAATAAAAAAAAGTACATAACTACTACGATTTGGGAGTTAGATAGGACTGTAAACCCCGACCCTGGATAATAGGTGGAGCTATGTACCGAATAACATGGTTACAAGGAATATAAACTGACTATATATTATAGTCAGTAAGTTAGTCACTACTTGAGAGCCTCGGAAAACATACAGTCTTCCAATATAGTACCACTCTGGATCGAGCGCACATGACTCCTTCAGCTCACTTACTATATCTAGTCGGAGCGTCTACACTCTACGCCGCTCAACATTCAATGGTCCTCGGCCAACTGGCGGGCAGAATATGTCGACGCCCGACGGGAACAACACTTTTGCAGATTTTGATCATCGAACCGCCAAATTCTGTCGATTACATAATTTGAAATTACGAAAGGGTTAAAGGAACGAGATTTATTTCCGGCGCCGATGAGACGAAAGACACAGAGTCCTCCCACTATTTATCGCAGAACAGCGGAATTACGACAACTGATCACAAAAACGGAACAAATATGAAATAATTCGAGCTCAAACTCTTTTAACGAGAATTTGAGAATGATTATCGAAATATATTTGTTTGTACAATATCGTACACATACCTGTTTAATTTACTATCTATAATAGTATTTTCCCTATTTTGTTTCGCGGCGGTCGTCTTATCAGTTATCATCGCCGTTGCCGCCCGCGGACAGTTTAAACCACGGACTAAGATATACAGGACTGGACACGAGATGAATATTGTGGTTACGAAATGTTTTACAACAGGCGGAGTTCGGGGGGATATTTTCCTTTTAGCATTACTAGCGCCGTCTTAGTGGATACTTATGGAACTATAAATTTGTATGATGTGTTCTAGTTCCATAAGTATCCACTAGGACGGCGCTAGTAATGCTAAAAGGAAAATATCCCCCCGAACACTGCCTGTTGTAAAACATTTCGTAGTCAACCCCCCCACACCCTCCAACCTTGTCGTGTCCAGTCCTGTATATCTTAGTCCGTGGTTTAAACCATGGTCTTCTATAACCAAGACCATGGTTTGTACGGTAGATTCACAATCGGGCTTTACTTGGCAAATTATTATTTCCCGCCAAAATTGAATTTCAAATGTCCCCGCCTTCAACATTATTACCACAGAATATAGATGATCTATTACTTATTTCCGTGTTATAACTTATAACCACGAAATTTTAAGTCAAAGTAGACGAACAGACTATGCATTATGTGTGATCCTACATCGAACATCGAAAAATGAAAATGGAAATTCAACTATAGTTGTATAGTTTATAGACTATAGTATCGTTAACTATTATTACTTTTTAGTACAGAAATGCCAATGGATTTCCTGGGCAACCCGGATCACCTAGCTTTAGCTATATCGTGTAAGGGGCGTTCACAAGTCCAAACTTGGCAGATCAAGTTACTCGTAAAGATGTAATATAACATCATAATATTAAATATTGATAGATATAAATATATATATATATAAGATTAATGTATTAAACTCGTACCTGTGCTCGTACCAAGTTGTGTGATTGTGCGTTTGATATTGGGGTTGGTACTTACTACTTACCAGTTTACAGTTACCAACAATTCACTGGTGTTGAGGGTTTTACCACAGCTGGTTTATTTAGCCATGGGTTCTACGAATTCACGATATTATAATTAAGTTAAAATAGTATATTAGTATTACCTTGACACCGCCATATTTTTATCGGTTTTAACTTTTAAATCTTTGTCGTCCGCGAGAACGTATATTTACACTAGCCGAGACTTGACGCATACCGAGATGATGGACTATTCAATTAGTGGCGGTCCGAGTTCTAGCAACAGTCATCATCCATACGGCCGAAGCTTGGGACATCAACCGATGCCCGCGTAATTACATTTTCCAACAACTTTTGTACTGATCGATTTGTTTAGTTTTTTGTCGACCTATCCGTTGTTGTGCCTCCTTGCAGTGCTCAAATTTTGGGGACGGAGCTGTTTTACACAACTATTTTTTATTCTTTTTTTGCGTTCACCAAATATGTTTTTTACTTAGACGGGAGATGGAAAAAACTAATGCACGAAAAATATTTTATTAAAATGGGGATTTAAATTTTGTCATAATATTATACCTAATGAGTTTTATAATTTTTAATATTAGCTTATTATCTTTTCTATGGTTTAGACTACCTAGTTTAAAACCTAGAATAATTTGTATTGAGTTTGTTTATATTATTTATTTATATTACGCATTCACACTTGTTCTTTGCCTAGTGCAGATGTAGGGCACACTGCACAGATATAATATGCAATAAACTATTGTATTATAAAATATCTGTGGACTAGACAGTGTTGACAATAATCGACACATAAGTCTGGACACTGAACCGCAAATTAAGATACTGATAATTATTATTATTTTGTACTGAAACATGTAGGTAGGCATTGCTTTAAAATGGGAATTATAATAATATAAAAAAATGTCTTTTGTGACTGTCGACTAAATGTATGAAATGAATAATTGGATGAATATAATATAAGTCCGCATGTTACATAATATATTTTTGGAATATAATAAAGCTAAAATGTTCAAATTTGTAATTACATTTCTTGTTTCTAATGTGATTAATACACAGCATTTTATATTAATTTAATAGGTAGATTGTTTTAGTGCTGGTTTTCAAAGAATACAATTTTATCTCCTTTTTGGTGTTATGTTTTGCTAATCCATTTCTTAGTTTTTAAAATAATTTTTTTTTTAAATATGTAGCTTGGCATTGTCCACTCCCAGCACTGTTCACAATCATAGCAACAAGCCCAATGATGAATCTAAAGCAGTTATCGACGAGGGCAAGAAACTTTTGGTTGGAAGTGTTAAACAAGTGGCGCGTTGGTGCCGATTGTTATCGTTTTTGGAACCGACCAAAATTATTTACCAAGTATTCGGTACACCTTATTATTATTCATTGTTATAAAATCTTTCCTATACCAATAATATATTATATATATTTGGTTAGTGTATTAATGAGTTATCCAATTTTAATATTAATTAGAATTTGAAAAATAATTACTCTGTAGTTTCTAATATTTTTCAGGATGGATATTAAAATATTTTAGTTTTAGGAGTTATGGATTTGGTAAAAACTGGCAGCAATAAATGCGAAAAAATATTTTGTTTGCGCAGCGAACAGAAAAAATCTGGAATAGTATGTGTATTTTATGAAATAGATAGAAAAATGCCTAATATATCTAAAGGAACATTAGTATTGTGAGTGTTATTTATATTTTATTTATTATAATATAATATATATTGTATGATAAAAACAAAAAACTTAAGCTAAACTGATATTACTGCAGGGGGTTTAAATAATAGTTATATCACACATTGACATTGAAAATGTATCTATTATTAATAGATGTACTGGTCATGTAAAAGGAAAAAATAAATTGCAAGTATTCACTATTCGAGAAATACACGAAGACAAAGCTTCATTCGACAGAATATCTTTAGTCAGCCATTGGACAATTAATGATATTTTAATATATAAGGTCTAAGTATTATTATAAGCAGTTTCAATTGTAAATTATTTTTTATTTTTTGATCCTATAGAAAAATAATTTGATTTATTTAAAATTAATAATTTTCTTGGTAAGTATATATAAGTATAATGTATAAACAAATAATAAGATTAAGTGTTTAAAAAATAAAATTTTTATTTATTATTTATAAATTTATAATCTATCACTTAAATCACTACCATTTTCTTTTTTATTGGCTATTCTTGAGCCAAATTGTAGAGCTCGTTTTGGTAAACAGGCTGCATTTATAAGTCCCAATTTGAACGCTGCTAATCGTAACAATAGCTTTTCACCCAAGTTGATCGGGTATGGTTCTTTTGGCCAGCACCTAAAATATTTTCATTATAAAAATAATAAATTTCCAACTATTATTTATGTAATTAAATATATATAACCGTTGCCATGGTGAAAGTCCTCTAATAAATTCTACAAAATTTTCATCTAAATATGGTGTACGTAACTGACGACCATGGTCACAACACACACGGTTATCTCGACCTAGATTACGTGATGGTATTTTGGAAAAATCTTTATCTAATTCTTCATTCAGTGACTGCCAACCATGTCGCTGCAGAATTTTTCTATATCTTGTATACCCGCCCAATAGCTCATCTGCACCCATTCCAGACAATAACACCTGCATAATTTAAATTATATTATGAACATTGAACAATATCCAGTTATTTAAATTTTTTAATCAGTATAAAAATATTTTAGTTGTTTTTATTAGCCATCACTATAAAAATAATATTAATTTTATAATTTTAAGATGTTTGTTGATTAATTCTTATTTTAATTAGATTTTGGACAAATAATTATCGGAATCCAGAATTTCTAAATGTATGATTAAAGTTAATTTTTTTTGTTCATATTAAGTGGGTACTCTTAGATTAGAGTATCTTAAAAGTAATTGATACATTGAAATTTAATTATTGATGGTATTCTATAATCATCCTGAAGCATGATTACCATGCACAAAATATTTTAATAGCGGTAATAGAATAGTGTGTGTGAGGAGTCAGTGGCGTATACAAGCGGGACACGGGGGTCAGATCCCCCCCATTGGCTTTTTATTACCCTAGTAAACACTAAAAAGGTTTGAGAGGGTGGGGGAATTTCCAATTTTTCCCTCCTGTCGTTTTTTTTTTTTTTATCCCCCCTCTCAGAAATCATGTCTACGCCACTATGTGGAGTGTTATTTAATCTATTTTGTATTTTCAATTGTACCTAGCTTTAAAATTAATGGTTGACAACTTTTATCTAAAATTATTATTAATTTTTATTAATGAAATTTTTTTTAATTTTTTTAAAAATTATTTAACAATTTTCTGGTGGGGGATAAAATCCCCCAACCCGCTCAGGATACGTCTCTAGAGTAGAGTACAGAATAGTTTTGCAATATTATACGTATATAAGACAGATGATTACTCATTGCACTTTCTAGATAAAGTAATAATATAATAAATTATTATTACTAAATCAACAAAGAAATATAATACATGCTTCTGCTCACCTTAAAAGTATTAATTTGTTAAAGCCTAATAAGAATTAAAAGATTAAAAGTTCAAATTAGAAGTTCTAATACTGAACTATATAGTGTTTCCAATAACCTATCTTAAACATATTATATTTAGATAAATGTAATAATTTGACTATAAGTTATAAGACAATGAAAAACTAAGTACACCTCAAACTATTTCAACTAGTATAATATTATGATATTTAAACATATTATATTTAAATTACTTACTCGAGCAGGGGTTTTATAAGATTTTCCATTACATTTGCCAAGTCCCCGAGAGGCAAACCATAAGGAACAGCCAAGGCTATCATCTAGGACGGTTTTTAAAGGATAAATGAGATGGCGTATAGTGTCAAAACGTTTTTGTTGCAATTCAACACTTGAAATGTCTATCTAAATATATATCCAATGTTTAAAAAAAATATAATGTAATTATTTATTTTTCAGTATGGGCATTGCACATTTGTAGTACTAAAATGTTACTCACTTTTATTAAGTTCCATCGTCTAGTTGGACACAAAGTTTTTAACTCTTCTAATGTATTTAAACATGTTTGTCTATCTGGGCATTCAAAATTGCCAGAGTTTGCTGGTCTTTCAAATGAAACATTTAACAAATCAATTGGTTCATCAGATTCTACATATTTGGAAGCTAATAGAGCTAGTAATGCCGAATCTATACCTCCTGAAAATAAAATAGCCATTTTTGCATGATCACATTTGAACTCGCACATTTTACAAGCCTTTGGATTGATTGTTGTTCTTTTTTCAACTGACTGAGACAAATAGTGAATCAGATTACTGACATTCTTACAAAATTCTTGGTGCAACAATAGCTCAGACATGTTTAATTGATAATTTTGTTGTAGTATAGAGTCTTCAGGATTTGTAACATGTTGAACACGGGTCTGTTTAAAATATTGCAATTCATTTGAAATGTTGTAATCACAATCAAAACGTGTGTGTGACCACTGGTATAATTGAGGTTCTGAAACGTTAACAAACAATCAATGACAACTCACATATTATTAAAACAATATTTAGACATAAATGTACCAAGTATACGAGCATTCAAATCAAATCTAAACAATCCAATGGCTGGTACTTCTTCTAGATCTGCAATGTCTTTGTGTCCAACTGAAGTGACTATCAGTTTGTCCGCACTAATGTTCCATAACAAACTGATGCGGCCTATTGGATCTCTACCGACCCACAAAACTTGTTGTTCACAGTCGTAATAGATAATGGAATATGGGCCGTGGACAGAAGTCATAAGCAGTTCCATGCTGCCTCCATCACACAGAAAATCTGATATTATTTTTGTATCGCTGTCTTTAATACTAGCGTTCATCTAGTAATAGGAATTTTTAATAATATATACATGTCGAGTATATAATATTTTATTCATCAGATTCGACTCACCGTCAGATTCCAACTGTATGCGTCACCATTCCATAGTAATATATTTCCCTTTCGATCAACATATGGCTGACCGGTTGGACGCTCTCCTTGAGTCCACAGTATGTTGCCCGAGAACAAAGCAGTGTAGCCATTGACATTGACCTGATGAGTGGAACCCACGTCCGGGCCTCTCTTCTGCAGCGCCGATCTACACTTGATGATCTGAGGACAAAACGGGGCTAGGAAATCTAATTTGAATTAAATGGCCACTGTGCAAAAGCAGCAGTCGCAGTGGAAGCCAGCAGATTTACCTCACCGCACGCGGACGACCCTTTGACGAACGACCCTTTGACGAACGAACAAAATATACCGCACATGACGAGATCTTAGGTACCTACACCGAACAACGTCGTGGATTTGTATCGCGGGACCGGGAACAAGTCAAAGGCTGCTCATCAACGGATAGCGATGTCGGTACAGTGACTACCTGTTGGTTTGTTGGGCGAAGTTTTAGCAATATGCGTCTTACCAACAACAAGGCCGCGTACCGTAAGTAGATGAAATTAATATAATAGCTACAGGTGGGTGTACTTTTTATCTCGTAAAAACGACTGACCCATCATTGCGGCGTCGTGGTCGTTATCGATCACCAACGATCGCCGAGACGGAAAATGCGTAGTGATTTAATATTGCTGAAACGTCAGAAATAATAATTTTTGGATCGGTACCATTCGGTAGTCACTAAACGGTACCGCGCGTTCGGCAAATTACGATTTTCGAAGAACTGCTTATCAGTAAGTTATCAAGTATCAACGTACACCGCCAACCACTTATCTCAGCAATCATGAATGTGACCGTTTACAGTATCTATAATATAATGTACAATCGTCATTCGTCAATCATGATGTAGGTAGTTTCTACAAATTCGCTAGAATGCTAGATTAAACCGGTGTGAAAAATAATAGGTACACCGTGATGTTTGGACCATATCGTTTACACTTTACATGGTTCATTGGGCAAATGTAAACTGGGCCCGAAGTTACCTTTTTTGTTGTAAACTCGGCCCGAGAATTTTAGGTAATATAAATAGGTAGATTGTAATCTCGGCCCGGAAATTTCAGGTGGTAAAATAAATCGATTGTAAACTCGGCCCGAAAATGTCAGGTGTCAGATTCTATGTTTCCTCCTGAAATGTGGGCCAGTGCATCAGTTGAAACGTATTTAACAACAAATGCATGTGAATCATTTCATGCGCATTTTAATTCAAGTTTTAATTCCACTCACCCCAATATATATTCCGTCATTTCAAAATTAAAAGAAGTACAAACAGAAACGTACATTAAAATCAACAGCCTAGATGGACCATTTAAATTCCAAAATATAAAAACTAAAAAAAAAAAGAACTCTTAGAAAGAACACTTACAAAATATAAAAATAAAGAAATATCAGTGAGTGAATATGTAAAATACATGGCTTTTTACTTAAAAAACTAGATTTATATATTATTATACTAAAATTTTTCACTCATTATATACACTACAATTTTACTTATATATTTTTATTATATTTTTACACATTTTTACACTTATAAATTTATATAATTACATTTATAATTATTTTATTATCAATATTATAACATTTTAATTACATATTTTTCATTTAAATAACGAATTTCATACTATGAATAATAATATGAAACTGAAAATAATTTTTGAAGGATAATGAGAACCGCCTCGTGGTGTCCTCTGGGTAATGCTAAATGTTTCTCAAAAATATTATAAGAAAAATGATGGTTTTTACACCTAAATCATTTTCACCTGAAAAAAATCGGGGCCGAGCTTACATCTAAATAATTTTAACCTGAAAAAAACCCGGGCCGAGTTTACATCTAAATAATTTTGACCTGAAAAAAACCCGGGCCGAGTTTACCATCGACCTTTTGGAAATGTTTTTTCCTCGGGCCGAGTTTACAATCTCCCGGTTCATTATCCCGGTGAGGGATAATTTTAAACCGGTCTAGTTTAGCGAATTTCTAGAAATTAGTAGGTATTTACTATTTAGATTCTTAAATATAGTAAAATAATATACCTAAATTTATTATTACACTGTGTATGGACATAACTTACCCTGTAACCTACTTGGTGGTGTTGCATAGCAAGTCGGGGGATATTTTCGATTTGCGGAGCGGAACGACGGCGCCGAGGAGCGCAGCAACGAGTACCGATACACGCGGAATCGCTGCAACTTTGAACTTCCATAACTTTTGAACGGTAAGTTTCCGGTTTTCCTCAAATATTCCAGGAAACTAACTAATGAAGTTTGATAGTGCATGTTTTTGCATGTTTTTGCATGTTTTGGGTGTTAAGAGGACGTCTCACCCGGATGTGTTGTCTCCTTCTTACTCACTTACGACATAGCAAACGAACATTTGCTATGTCGTATGTGTGTAAGACATAGACAAAATGCGTTTAGGCAGTCTGAGTATAACTCGCTCAATTTTGGTTCTAGAGTAAAAATACCTATTATGAAATTGAATTGTGATAATATTTCTAAGGGCAAGACGCTGAGGTTTTTTTAAAAAATTTAATTTTTTAAAAGTCAAAGGTATTTTAAAAATGGTGAAATTTTTTCTATTTCTAAACGATATAATGAACGTTATATTGGGTATAATGGAAAAACCGCAGCGTCTTGCCCTTAGAAATATTATCACAATTCAATTTCATAATAGGCATTTTTACTCTAGAACCAAAATTGAGCGAGTTATACTCAGACTGCCTAAACGCGTTTTGTCTATGTCGTACGTGTGTAAGACGGAGACAACACATGCGGGTGTAGCGTCCTCTTAAGGCATATTTGGCATAATATAATTTTTTACAGTCGTTAGTGCATATTATTTCATATAAATATTTGAAACGTTTCTTGTTTTTATTTATTTTCCCGTTTACAAAATTATAATGTTTTGTTTTATTTAGTGTTTTATTGAGTTTGTGTGTGACTACCTACTACCTAGTGTCCTAGTGACCTAGTAAATACCTACCTATTTAGATTTTATGCGTTTTACGTGTATAGTACACTAGTACCGCGGAAATAATGTAATCGCTACACTACCATCCTCCACCGGACAAAGTCCGTCGTCAAAACGAACCTATATACACGCGTGCAGCTTCTCACCAAACAAATTTATAATTTTGTACAGTATAGTTTTCTTGCACTCGCCGATGACTTTACTCATATAGTCATACAAGTCGTATGCGTTCGTTCGCTAAATTTCTTGTTTTAGTGTTTTCGTGTGAGGTACTAAGGTAGGTTTAGGTACCGTCACATTATTAATATTTTATTTAAACAACAATGTCAAAAAAAACAAAGTTGAGTGCCGTTTGCAACATTTTGTGGTGGAATTTCAATTTTTTTAAATTTATGGATTTATTCTTATTATTTCAAAATTTTCTCATGATTTTTTTACATAATGCATGTTTTGAGTGCATAATTTAAAAATGTTTGGGCATATAAATGTATATTTTCGAAATTTGTATTGCATATTTTAATCCATATTTTGACAATCGTTAGTGCATGAATGCATGCTTATCTATATGCATTTTTTAGTGCATGAAGTTACGACCCCTGATAATCATAAATAATAATAATATAAACTACCTATATAAAATATATTACCCATTTATATAGAAATTAGTACCTATATATAATTATAAGCAAACTATAAAGATTAAAGATTATGTTTATATTTTTATAAATTAATAATTATTAATATAATATATCTACGATTCAGATAATACTAAGTAATATGTTTTTCTACGCCTTTTTGGCCTAGATTTGTTGGATGGGTGGTAAATGGTAATGTACTAATGTGTATGGGCGAATCAAGACGAATTTTTATAACCAGGTCTAGTGAGGTCTTTCCCTAAAAAATGCCTAAATAAGTATGCACTTATGCACTAAAAGCTGGAAAAATATGCTTTTAAAAGTTCAGAAATATGCATTTATATGCACTAAAAATCTAAAAATATGTATCAAAAATATGCAGTTTAAAAAATAAAAATACTATAAGTAAATTTTGGAATAACAAAAAATGTTCATTCATATTATTAAAAGTTATATTTTATTATATTAATGTACCCAATTTCAAAAATATATAAATCAATTAAATTCAAATCAATTAATAATAAATAATAATCAATTAAAAAAATATCCAGTCAGTCCAGTCCAGTCAGCTCATTTTAAATCTGAAAATTTTAAATTCAATTTATTAAACAATACAAAATACTTAATTAAATAATTTATATTTAATTAAGAAGTTGCATTGCACAATAAGAATTTTTTTAATGTTGTCAAGTTTGAATGAACGGCGATTAGATGTGACTAAATTGGTGTATATATTGAAAATGATCTTTCGACGTCAGCAGAGGTGATTACTGATTAGTGCATATTTAAAACACGAAAAATCATTAAGTGTCATGTCTTCGGGTAATCCTAGATTTGTCATATTCTTCTCTCCACCAGATATAATATTAGAAATTTTGCAAAAATAAATTCGTATACGTACGTTTGTACTCGTTTTATCTGCTCTATACCTACGTTTTATTTTTAATAATTTGATGTTGCGAAAACTCCCATATATTTTATACTGTGTAAAAATATAAATAATTGCATTTTCATTAAATTTCGGTAAAAATATGCACAATAAAATGAACTCTTAGACAAAATTTCTAAGCTTTTTATGAAGTCAATTTTAAATTTTAAATTATAGAGAACCTTAAAATAACGATTTATTTTCAAAAATCCCATGAAATACATTTGTATTTATTTTGGGCACATCTGATTTTAAATCAAAAAAGAGATTCCTAAAGAGAATTTTCTAGCAGCTTATAAATTCAACAATTTTTCCGAAATAACAATCGAACTTTAGGAAGTATGTTACTTTACTACCACTTTTAGTAATTTTGAGAGCTCTCTAGATCGTACCATTGATTGAATTATAATCAATCAGTGGCGTAATGACTAATGAGGAACTGGTTTTGGGGTGGGATATAAGTTTTTATAATCATAGGCTATTCCCTCCACATGCCCCTTGTTCGTTAACTTTCATACATGATAATATTATATTAATGTATTATTATAAATTAAATGAAGTAAAATATAAAGTCCATCTTTTTTTTTTTTTTTTGCTTAAATGTCTAGTATATGTCTTCAGGATTTAGTATTATATCCTGTTAACTTCTCCAGAGGAAATAACGTCAAAAATCTAACAAAAATCGAACCCGAGTCTCTCGCTTGCCGGGCTATTGCTCTACCACTGAGCTACCCGACCACTTAGACCTATGACGCTATCTCCCCAAGTTAACAATCCCGATGCACTATC